ATTTCTGCCTCCTTTTGTGATCCATTAGCTTGGAAACAAATTTTCCATCCTCTAATTTTCAGTCTGTGTGTGCCCCTTGTAGTGAGATGAGTTTCCTGGATGTCACATATTATTGGGTCATGGTTTTTTCTGCAGTTTGCGATTCTGTGTCTTTTCTGTGGTGCATTTAATCCATCATGTTCAGACTCATTATTGAAATGTGGTTGATTATCCCTGCCATGAGATCATTATAAAGCTTTTTCTTTACTTGTTTTCTTTCAACTTTTGGGTTGATGTATGTGTGTTTTCAAGTTTGCCATCTTGATGTATTCTCTGTTGATTTTGTGTTCTCCTGTTCTCTTGGGAAGTGCGTGGTCAATCTTTTTTTTCTTTCTTCTGTGCTTAATACCTTTTTAAGGGTCCCCTGTAGAGCTGGTCTGGAAGTTGCATAATCTTTTAGGGATTGAATGTCTGGGAAGGATTTTAATTCTCCATTGCTGATGAAGCTGAGCTTGGCTGGGAAGGAATTCTTGGTTGAAATTGTTTACCTTTGAGGACTTTTAATACTGGACTCCAGTCCCCTCTAGCTTGTAGTGTTTCTGCCTATAGTTCTGCTGTTATTCTGATTGATTCTCCCTGGTAGGTAGTCTGACCTTTCTCTCTTACTGCTTTTAGGATTTTTTCTTTTTTATATTTTGTGTAGGCAAATTACTATGTGTTTAGGGGTTGATCTTCTCATTTGATGTCTTGCAGGGGTTCTCTGTGTCTCTTGTGTTTGGATGATTACATCTCTGGTGAGATGGGGAAAGTTTTCTTGGATACCATCCTGGAATACTTGCTCTGAGGTGTTTTCCATTTCCCTTTCTTCTTCTGGGATACCGATTGTGCAATAGATTCGGCCTCTTGATATAATCACACAACTCTTGGAGGATTTGTTCTTTCTTTCTTAATTTTCTATGTTTTTTACAGACTGTGTTAATTCCATGTTTTAGTATTCAAGATCTGAGATTCTTTCTTCTGCTTGATTATGTCTGCTTTCTATGCTTGTCACGTTGTTATTTATTTCCCGGATGACATTTTTATGACCAAAATCTCTGTTACAAGTTTTTTCAGTGTTGCATCTTGTCTTTCTTCAGTCTTATTCACTCTTTCCAGCCATTCCCTAATCCCTGTCATATTCTGGGGCCAGTTGTTGGTGACTTTCATCGTCTGGGACCCAAGGCCTGATTTTTTTTAAATTTGTTTATTTATTATAAAGATGTATGGTACAATTCAGGGTTAAGTATGCAAACATTGATCATGCAGGTACCCTTGTTGATGAGGTATGGCCCTCCCTACCCTAGCAGTTTTCCTCAACTGCCAGTCCCACCCCCCCGACAGTTTTCCACTACTGCCACTTTCCTATAGCATTATAATTGTTCAAGGTCACCTTATGAGTTAGAACATATGGAATTCAGTTCTTTGTTTCTGTGATAAATCACTGAGTATGATCGACTCCAAATCCATCCAATTTGCTGCAATGTCCATATATTTGTCCTTCCTTATGGGTGCATAATATTCTATTGTGCATATATACCACATTTTTAAAATTCAGTCCTGCTTCGATAGGCAACACAGTTGGTTCCATGTTTTTGCTATTGTGAATAGAGCTGCAACAAACATACATGTGCAGGTAACTTTTTCGTAGAATAATTTGAGTTCCTCCAGGTATATTCCCAATAGGGGAATTGTTGGGTCATATGGAAGGTCAATTTCTAGTTCTTTCAGAAATCTCCAGACTGTTTTCCAGAGAGGTTGTACAAGTTTGCATTCCCACTAGCAGTGTAGAAGCGATCTTTTTTCTCCACATCCTCGCCAGCATCTGTTGTTGTTTGTTTTATTAATGATAGCCTTTCTTACAGGGGTTAGGTGGTATCTCAATGTGGTTTTGATTTGCATTTTTCTCATGATGAGTGAGGCTGAGCACTTTTTCATGAGTTTGTTGGCTGCCCGTATATCATCTTTTGAGAAGTGTCTATTCAGGTCTTTTGTCCCCTCTTTAAAGGGGCTGTTTGTATTTTTCCCCTTCAGTGCGTTTGAGTTCCTTGTAGAACCTAAATGTTAGGCCTTTGTTAGACATACAGTTGACAAATATTTTTTCCCATTCTGTGGGGTATCTCCCTACTCTTGTGATGGTTTCTTTTGCTTTGCAGAAGCTCATTAATTTGATGCGGTACCACTTGTCTATCTTATTTCTTAAGGTGTTGGCATTTAGGGTTCTGGATAGGAATTTGTTGCCAGTTCCAATTTCCATAAAGGTGTCTCCTGTGTTTTCTAAGGTTCTTATAGTTTGAGGTTTTACATTTAGATCTTTGATCCATTTAGAATTAATTTTTGTGTATGGTGATAGGTAGGGGTCCTGTTTCAGTCTTCTGCGTGTGGTCAGTTTTCCCAGCACAAGGTCTGATTCTTAAGATGTTTTCTCTTTGTTACACTGGGAATTACCTGTGTTCTTCCATTGATTTTTCCTCATTTGTGACAGATCTCTTTCTTTTCTATTTAGTTTTGTTATTCATTGGCAGTGGGAGAGGCTTTCACTTCTGATGTTTGTTCTGTCCTCTATTCTCCTCTTATCAGGGCTTTGAATTTGTTCTATTTTGAAACTTGGCCATGGGTAGGAAGCTCTGCTCTCTCTTGTACTTTTGAAAGTTGAATAAGGTAGAGTATGTGGAGGTATGATTCAGAAACTACTTGCAAATCACAATGTTCACTAATTGTGATATGGGTTCCCTGAGACCCACTCCCTACTGCCACTCTATATGACCATGCAATGGGTATATGTGTGCACTCCCTGAGTCCAAGATACAGTAACAGCAATGAGGAGAACAGAGAAAGGTAAAATGAAGTAAGATAGACAAAAATAAAATAATAAAAACAAACAGAAAAACAAATGCAGACATCAAAGCAAAAGACAATTAAACACACACATACAAACAAAAACAAAGTGGAAATAAAACAAAGAAAAACTAAAAAAAAAATTCCATACAGGAAAACCCAACACGCACAAACACACACACACACACACACACACACAAACACACACACATGCCCAACACAAAAAGAAAGAAGATTTTAAAAAGAAGAGAAAAAAAGGAATTCAAATCAAACCTTAACCCATACATTCACACACATTAAACTAAAAAAAGAGAACAAAAACAATAAATAGTAAACAAAAAACCTGAAAGGCAAACACTCAATTATTCATGTATACACATAAACAGAAAACAAAAACATGAAAGTAAAATGAAAGAAAAAGAAGAAAGAAAAAAAGGTGGGGGAAATACAGATCAAACCTTCACATACATATCCATGAACAAAGGAAAAAGAAAAAATAATAAAACAAATACCAAAAAACAACTTGCCATCTTGTTGCAGGTTCTGTAACTGTTCCCCTCAGGTTAGCCCATCTGTGATCTCTTGCAGAGCTGCAGCCTTACTCACAATCTCCCCAGTGTTTGGCTGGAGAAGGAGGAGTAGGTGGTGGGGGTGGGTGGGGTTTCAGTCCTCCCTTACCACCCTTGTGTGGTTAGGATCCCCTCTGGTGGGGCGGTGCAGGATTGTCTCTTCCCCAGGTACTGGTGGCAGGGGGGCACCCCAGCCAGGATTATCCTGGAATAAAATCCTATTGCAGCTGACATCCAAGCTCCACCTGGGTTTGTCCCTCTCAGTCATGCCCCAGTCATGTGGGTGTGATGTTCAGGGGACTGTTGGGGAGGAAGGGGTTGGGTCAGCCCTAGACTCACTGCAGACTCTCTGGGGGTCGTCCTCGTCCTTCTCTGGTCACATCCTTTGTCCTACAGCTGAATCAGGGTAGGGTGTGGGGTGTCTGAGACTCAGCACTCATCCTGCCCTCCGGAGTTTATGCTTTTAGGATATTCCCTCTGGGTCACAATCAACCCCTAAATAGTTAATCCACTAGTCACAGAGATCGGCTCTGTTGCTACATGGTGAGCAAGCCAGAGTACTTTCCTGCCCAGTTTTCAAGATGGTGGCAGGGTGCCCCTTTCATTTCCTCCACTGTGCTTCCTTCGCCACACTTGCTGCCAGTGTCTGGCCAGGTACTGTGGTGGTAAGGTAGAGAGCCTGAAGCTGAGTCACTCCTGGCAGCTTCTTCTTGAGAAGGGCTTTGCTGATTTTTAAAAATGGCACTTGGCTTTTGTATCCCAGGAGGCACTAGGGCCCAAGCAGAGCAGACACGGCACCAGCTGCTTCACCAGGAGAGCCCTGAGCACTTGCTCCCAAGTCCTTACTCTGTCAGACACTCACATGCCCACTTACTCACAGACATATACGCAAAATTTAACATACACTCACTCACTCACACTGGGACTCGCATAGTCTGACTGGCTCTGTCAACATCTTCCTCCCTTCAGTTTCTCTTATTTTTAAGTAAAAATAAAGAAAAACAAATTTTATTTTTTCCCTCTGCTCAATAAACTATGTTTGGACATAACTACTCTACACTAGGGGTCCCCAACCCCTGGGCCATGGACCAGTGCTGGTCTATGACCTGTTAGGAACGGGCCACACAGGAGGAGGTGAGCAATAGGCAAGCAGAGCTCTGTCTTCTGTTAGATTAGTGGTGGCATTAGATTCTCATAGGAGTACAAATCCTATTGTGAACACATGCGAGAGGTCTAGGCTGCACACTCCTTATGAGAATCTAGTGCCTGATGATCTGAGGTGGAGCTGAGGTGGTGAGGCTAGTGTTGGGGAGTGTCTGCAAATACAGATTAACATTAGCAGTGAGGTTTGACTGCACATCCTCACAAACCGGTCTTCCACAAACCGGTCCTGATACCAAAAAGGTTGGGGAGGACTGTTCTACAACATTTATTCCTTAGCTTTAAGAATTTAAGACCATTTGCCATCTGTCATCAGGGACACCTGGAGACCTAGACACTCCTTCACTACCCACAGTTGAACCTCTGCACACAAACAGGCCTGGGGTATGCAAGCATATAGCCTATGACTCCCCAATCTCATACAGAGAATAAGTGGTGATGAGGGCTAAAGGAAGCGTTACCTTTTTGTTTAGGAACTTTTCTCACAGTCATTGCTGCCTGTCTCTTCTGGTTTTCAGAAATTTCAAAGCCTAAAAAAAGAAAAGTACATTATTCTGTTACGAGAAACATACACCCTTCTTCAATGCCTAATTAATAAATCTTACCTGTAAGAGTGATTTGGTAAGAGGTATCAAATATCTAGAAACACTAAAAGGTCATTCTTTATGAGCTAGTACCTCTCTAGTAATTTGTAAGAATCACAAAGATTTAGCTACAAAAATGCCTATCAAAGAATAAAAAGCCAAAATATATTGAGAACATGGGCTAAGAGGCTGTTAAATGGAGAATAGTTAAATAAAGAATGGTGTAAAGTGAAAAAAATATTTTGCAACCCAAAGCAAAAACACAAAGAAAATAAAATAATGAGTCAAAAGACAAGAGAATTATAACAGAAAATGTATATGCAGATAATAAAAGTTTTAAAAGGAGGGAAAAAATAATAGTGAAAAAAAGTAATAAGGAACTAAGAAGTTGCCTAAGTGAAAGAAAGACATACTTGTTGAAAAAGTAAAAGGTCTTGCTAAGTCCCAGGCAGGACTGGAATATATACAGTAGATGTACACTTAGATGTTGACCAATGAAATTCCTCAACTTCTGGACAAATAAAATAATCTTACAAGCTTCAAGATAGAAAGAACAGCTTATTTACCAAAGAGAGAAATCACAGTATTACTAGGATGCTCATCTGAAACACAGGACATATACTCTTCTGAATAAACCTTGGATCCAAAGGAAACTATACTTAAAATAACAAATTATCTAAAAATAAACAAAAAGAAAATTTTATATCAATACCTATGAGATATAGTTAAGGCTTTCAAAGGAGTACATACTCTAAAATGATTTATTTTTTATTTAATTTAATTTAATTAATTAATTTATTTATTTATTTATTTTGAGTTGAAGTCTTACTCTGTCGCCCAGACTGGAGTGCAATGGCCACTCCCGGCCACTGCAGCCTCGACCTGCTGGGCTCCGGTGATCCTTCTGCCTCAGCCTTCCAAGTAGCTGGAATTACAGGCACGTGCTACCACACCCAGCTAATTTTTGATTTATTGTAGAGATGAGGTCTCACCAAGTTGCCCAGGCGGGTCTCAAACCCGCAGGCTCAGGCAATCCACTCACCTCAGCCTCCCAAAGGCACGGGATTACAGGCTGAGTCACCGAGCCCAGCTAAGATTTATTTTTTAAAAATCAAAACAAAGCAAACTAAATAGGACCCCTTCCTCATGTAATGTATAAAATGTATTAATAAATTCCAGATGGATTACAGCTCTAAAAATAAGCCCAAATTATATTTTTTTAAATAGAAAACTTTATAGCATTGGTTGGGAGAGGTCTTCTTAAGCAAGATAAAGCTAGCAGTCATAAGAAAAATAATAGGTACATTTGTCAATGTAAAAAATTAAATATTTATAGAACTAAGACAAAAGCAAATTCAAAAGACAAAAAACAGACTGGAGAAAATATATGAAACTCACTGATGAAGTGTTATTATTTCTAATATAGTCTTCACAAATTTATTTTACAAGAAAGACAAAACCAAAAATTGACAATTCACAAAAGAAGAAATCCAAATTACCATCAAACATATGACAAAAAACCTTACTAGTTGAGAAACGGCAAACTCAAGCAAATAGATACTATCCAGTGCTGGTGAGGGTGTGGAGACATGGGTACCCATAAAATAATGCTGGGAATGAAATTCTACAACTTTTCCAGAATTTAATGTGGAAGTATGTTATTAAAATTAAAACTGTTCATATTCTTACATTCATTCATTCCACTTTAGGGAATCTATCCCACAGGAATGAAAGCACTAACGTGTAACAATGAGATATATATGTGGATATTTATTACAGCAATAACTGTAATAGGAAAAAAGTAGGAAATAAAATAAATGTCTAGCAAAAGGAGTATACACTCAGCCATTTATAACTGTCAGTTTCACATCTGTGGATGCAACCAACCATGAACTGAAAATATTCAGAGAAAAAATTTGTGGTTGGATCTGTGTTGAACATGCACATATTTTTCTCCGTCTCACTATTCCCTATACAATATAGCTATTTGCATAGCATTTACATTGTACTAGGTATTACAAGTAATCTAGAGATGATTTAAAGTATATGGACTACGTAAATAGGTCATATACATGGATTTTGGTATTTGTAGGGGTCCTAGAACCATGAATACTGAAGTATGACTGCAGTTGCAACATAATAATACTAAATGTTATATAGCTATTTAAAAGAGAAGTGTGATGACTTTATTGATGTGCCAATTTGACTAGAATATAGTCCTCACTAATATAGGTGTTGTAGCTATGAAGGTATTTTTACTGATGTAATCAAAGCCCCTAAACAGCTGATTTTATATAAGGGGGAGTATTCTGGGTAGACCTGATGGAATCCGTTGGAAGGCCTTAAAAGTAGAGCTGAGGTGTCCCCCAGAGGAGCAGAAATTCTACCTGTGCATCACACCTTTAGCTTATGTCAATGGAGTCATATCCTCCTCATGATCTTGTCTTCCTGACTGCCTGTAGATGATGGTTTTGTCCTATGCCCAGGGGTTTGAGCCTGCCCATAATCTTCCATTTCTAACTGCTTATCCTAGTGATTTCAGAGTTACTTGGCCTTCACAATCACCCAAGCCAATTAATCTCTTATTTTCTTTATATATTTCCATATGGGTTTAAATGGTTATGATGGCCATAAAACTCAAAAGTAAAAATTTGAAAAATAAAAGTATGATAAATCCATGACACCCATAAAAATGATGAAAAATATTAAATGATTTAGCAGAAATGCTACTTATATGAGTAAAAAATTAGGATTCAAAATTATATCTATCCACTATGGAGAGGCAGATGTAGGGAAAAAAGATTCAGCCACCCTAGTTTTTCTATTTAGACATATAGGAAAATAAGACTGGAAGGAAATATATCAAAATGTTTACAAAAGTTATTGCTGAGTGGTATGCTCACATGCGATTTTTACTTTTTTCTTGTATTTTTCTGATGTTTTGTTCCCCAAAATTTCTTTATTTTTTTCTCAGTTGGAGTCTCAATCTGTCACCCAGGCTGGAGTGCAGTGGCATGCTCATGACTACCGCAGCTTTGACCTGCTGGGCTCAGATGATCCTTCTGCCTCAGCCATCCAAGTGGCTGGAACTACAGGCATGCACTACCAAACCTGGCTTATTTTTAATTTATTTATTTATTTTACAGATGAGGTCTTACCAACTTGCCCAGGTTGGTCTCGAACCCCTGAGCTTAGGCAATCCTCTTGCCTCAGCCTCCCAAAGTGCTGGGATTATAGGCTTGAGCCACCACGCCTAGCCTTTTCCCAAAATTTCTTACAATGAAAGTGATTCATTGTTATTAGCAAACAAACAAAACCTTCATATTTATTTTTTAAAAATAAACATAGACTTGTTAGAAAATAATTACTGCAAGTGTTTCTATTAGAAGCAGATTCTTAAAGCCACAGGTTATTAAGGCATTGTGTGGGAGACATCATGTTAGAGTCAATAGAAATGGTAAGAGCCTTCTAACTGACTCAAGGTCTGAACATAAGATCATTCCTTTAATAGCTCTAACAGCCTAGGCAGAGTCAGTGGCAGTTGCTGCCTGCCACTGAGAGAAGTGGCCCCCAATATTTCTATACCACTCTATATCATGTCCAAATGCAGTGACCACATACTAAAAGCAATCTGACTCCAATGAAACGCAAAGCGAGTTATCAATGTGCACTGTACCCAAGATCTGAGGATAAGACCTAGGATTAGAGGTATCTTTCTCATTTCCTTATCTCTGGACTATTTCAATCCCCAACATGGAAGGATAGGAAAACCCTTTTGTACCAGAATTCAATGGGTGGGCCCATTTTTCTAGAGATAAATTATACCAACTTGATCATACAGGCATTTTAAGGTACACTTTCACTTCCACAAGAAATGGGGCAAAGACAGAAACTGTCTGCTCTAATAATTAAAAATAAAAAGCTTGGTTGTTTAGTATTTTTATGCCAGAAAGGCAGGACTATGAGCAAAAGACCAGATAGTACTTTATAAACCACAAAGCTATAGTCAATATCACCTAAATCCCACAATTGGTAAGTAGCATGAAAAATATCTCTATTAGCCATATCCCCTCTAGAAAGCAGTGACAACTTGTTTCAAGGCAGAAATTATGTTTCAGTTTGATCCTAAGTCATACAAATGTTCATGGTTTTAGGCCTTGTTATATTTTGAATAATTTACTTTAGAATACTTTCATATAGAAAGTGTGCCATGTATGTGGATATCATTTTAATCTATAATCTAGGGACATTTAGTTAACATCTGAAGTATTCTAATCAGGAATACATAGTCCTGAGGTGATTTGTTAACATATTAAAACATTCAGAAGCCTTTGTTCCAGAGGTCATGACTGCCAATAGTTTAGTCACTTTAATGCAGGAAGCCTAAAAAGCCTAACGAAAGTTTGAAATTTATTTTCCTTGGTAAAAATGAATGTTATTCAATGTACTGGCCAGAAATGTCGTATAGGCACTTTAGCCCTCACAACAATTGGGCATAATAATCTAGTGAACCACATAGCTTATGCACTTCAGAAGGAGACCCAAAACATGATTGAAAACAATTCCTATGTCTTGCTCCTGACCAGTGGATTTCATCACCAGAATTTGACTATAAAGTTAGCTGAAACCTGTCATTATAATACTACCAAATCCGCATTGACTAACCCATCCACAGAAGATGCTATCATGTACCTAAGGACAGAGAGCTAGAACTTTACTGAGATTCCAGAACAGGCTATATGACTGACTTTTGTTTGTTTGCTAATAAATGTTTGTATGTTTGGGAGAATCAAGCCTGAAGTTGGTTTGCAGTGTAATATTCTTTTTATTTTATTTTATTTTATTATTTTTTTGAGTTGGAGTCTCACTGTGTCGCCCAGACTGGAGTGCAGTAGCCGCTCCCGGCCACCGCAGCTTCGACCTGCTGGGTTCCGGCGATCCTTCCACCTCGGCCTTCCAAGTAGTCGAAATTACAGGTATGCACTATAATGCCCGGCTGATTTTTTGATTTATTGTAGAGATGAGGTCTCGCTGCCCAGGCGGGTCTTGAACCCGCGGACTCAGGCAATCCACTCACCTCAGCCTCCCAAAGGTGCGGGATTACAGGCTGAGCCACCGAGCCTGGATTCAGTGCAATATTCTTAACTGGAAATGAGACTACAGGGGAGACCAACCTATAGTTCCCATCCACCCCTGACTAATGGAAACTATTGATATTACCAAGAAGAACCTAATAATCAGGAAACATTCAAGTGGCATAGACCAGTTTGCAACAGAAATCTCCCTCTGACTTTAGAAAAATGGAAACCAACTCAAACCTTCTATGTTCTTCATAGCCATATTTTTTTTTCTTTTTCCTCACAGGTCACATACCGATTTTTTCATCTTCCTGTACCATTTTCCTTTCCTCTCTGAAAGCCCTAAGCCAGCGTATTTTCTCCTCCAGCTTCTTGGCAAAGAACAGATGTATCTCTTCAGTCTCCTTGTTGTGAAGCTTGAAGGCATTCTTCATGCTGACATTGAAGTCATCATCTCTGCCATCTTCAATATCAACCACCTCATATTTATCCATGTCAATGCGGCCTTTGTAGTACAGGATGTCTCTCCGGATTAGGTCCTAGGTAGGAAGAAGGAGAAAGTTTCTTGCTGAAGGTTTGTGCAGTGAGTACCAGGAGAGTTGTCAAACGGGCACAGCAGGATGCTAACCATGTTACTGTTTTGAAGTACCTATAGTGGTTGGTTTGTTCTAAATTTGGGCAGGTTATATTAGCAGTCTGACATTAACAGGTTGGTTAACTAGATGCCCTAAGAGTAAGGCTCTATCCCACCTCCAAAGACTGTCTCAGACCCCAGAATCAATCCTTGTTTGCAAGACTGCTGATAGAAGGTAGGAAGCAGTAAGTCACACAAACATTTCTAGCAGGGATTTTTCCTCTTCTAAAACACTGGCAAGCCTACCAGAGGCATAAAATGAATTAGTTGGTTGCCTAGAGTGTGTTAAAAAACCCAGGTAGGCCAGTGAGACTGGATATGGGGGTGGGAGTGAAGTGAGTGGTAAGAGTAGTTAGGAGGCCACAGACTGCTGGCCAGGAAGGATTACCTGGGGAGGGTCTAACACTTCGCACTAGAGATTTTTCAGAAAAAAAGCCTAGTCTGGCAAGAGAAATGGAGGTAAAAGTAAATACAGAAAAGGCTCACATATCAACAATGATGATTATGACAAACCTTATTGAATAAGACAAACAAAAGTTGTAGATGGACACAAATAGTATGTTGCCTATTTGTTATTGCTGTTTTGCTCTCATGTACACAAAATTGGATTGATCCAAACTCTATTCCCTGAGATATTCATCATTAGTCCATGCATGACACCTTTATCTATTTATTCATCTAGCTACTTATTTTTATTTTATTATTTATTTATTTATTGAGTTGGAGTTTCACTCTGTCGCCCAGACTGGAGTACAGTGGCTGCTCCCAGCCACCGCAGCCTCGACCTGCTGGGCTCTGGTGACCCTTCCGCCT